ACTCACCCCAAGCCCCCAAGCCAGCCAGCCACAACACCGTGAATTCCTTAGGGTGGTGCCAGTCTCATCTTCTTAACCTTCCCATGCTCCTGCAGGGGGCTAAGGGAACGCTTATCTCCCCGAGCGCAGTCTTCATCCAACCATTCCTTCACATCTTCCCACCCACCCCGATTCCTCCACCTGCAGCTTCCACAGTCCCCAGCCAGCAGGGCCAATGAGCAAAACAACCCGCCTGGGAGAGGCGGGTTTCTGACTTTATGCTTCATGGGGAAAATTGTTGCGTCCTGTAGTTATAGAGGTGGGCACAGGACAAAAACCGGTGTGCAAGGATGGAGCAAAAAGTGTCTTGGGTGCTTATACCATATAAAATATTAAATATAACTACTTCTTTGTCGGTCTTCCCCTGCGTGCTCCTTCTGGGGGCTGAAGAGGGCAACGGGGCCAGTTGGCTTCACCTGCCGTTGGGATCTCTGGCTCTCCTTCGTGTCCTTCCTCACCTTCCCTTTTCCCGGACAGGTGTTCTGCCACCTAGATATTCCCCTCACCATGTTTGACGACTCTGTGGATGATCAGTATATTGACTGCAGCCCCACGACAGAAGTCAAGCCGCAGGAGCCAGGAAACGTTCCTCTGGGGAAAAAGTACAGTGAGACCTGGGAAAAAGCCAGAAGGCACTGGGCCAGCCTTGGCCAAGCGGCCACCGATCTCAGCCCACTCTATGGGACGGCGGTTGTGGCCTATACAGTCGGTGACACCTTCTACAGCGATTTCAATAATGCCATACGGGAAGCCGGGAAATCCCCAAGCTCTTACCACGACTTCACCTTCAAGGACGCCCACTTCCTCCTGACCAAGGCTGTTCAGGCCAGGAAGCCCAAGCACGGCTGCCACCGGGTCTTCCGCGGGATACGTAACATCCGTTTCAATGTCTCTGACAAGGTGGTCCGTTTCGGACAGTTTGCTTCCTCGTCGTTGGAGGAGACGGTGGCCCAGAAATATGGTGAGGATAGCTTCTTCATTATCAAGACCTGTTTCGGAGCGCAAATTGACGACATCTCATTCCACCCGGAGGAAAGAGAAGTTCTAATCCCACCCTACGAGACATTCAACGTGACCCGCCACAGCGAGAGCAAAAAGGGAGTCGTCATCACGCTGGAGTCCAGGGGCATTTTCAGCCACTTCAACTGCGGAGTCAAGAACGGTAAGAGGGTGGGAGCAATCGATGGCCCGGGGCTCAGGGGTCCCAGGAAGCCACTCCACCATTTCTGGAGAAAGGAAGCCATGGACTCTTGCGTGGCCACCACTGCAAGGGAAAGAGGTGATGGTCCTGGGACTGCAGGGGTGTTTTTCTGAGGCCCCACTCAGCTGCGCTGTCGCTTCAGGTACATACTTTGGCTGGGTTTGCACAACACACGCTGAATCATCAGAGCACTAAATGGCTGTTGTGCAGCACACCAATCTGCATAGAAGCTAAACCAAGGTTAACCCTAACCAAGCTTAGTGCTTTGCACCATGCAGACCCTGCCCAGGCAACCCCAGTTGCGCACACTCAATTTTCCAGGGTCTCTCTAGGGGGGAACGGCAGGCACCTGCACGCTTCGGGCGAAATGCCCTTTCCTTTCAAAGCCCCCTGCAAGATGCTTGGTGACTGGGCAGGAGGTGTCGTTCGGGTTCAGGTTGCTCTTGTGCTCTGCCCAGTCAAACCGGCCTGAAAATCCGCAGATCTCTGAGCTGGGCAGAAAGGTCTCCTCCAAGCTGAACTCAGCTCCTGATGCCTCGTGAAAAGGTCCGTGCAGTTCAGGAGCATCCGCAGGACGTGGTCGAAGAATTCAAGATGGCGACTGCAATGGCGTGACCAAAGTGCATCTAAAGACTGGGCAACATTTCCATTTCAAAAAAATTTTTGAATTTTTTTTGAAATTTGAAAAAAAAAAAAAAAAAAAAGCCAGTTTGGTGTAGCGGTTAAGGATGCAGGCTAGAAAGCAGAAGACGGTGAGTTCTAGTCCTGCCTTGGGCAGGAAAGCTGGCTGGGTTACTTTGGGCAAGTCATTCTCTCTCAGCCCAACTCACCTCACAGGGTTGTTGTTTTGGGGAAAATAGGAAGAAGAAGGAGTATTGGCTTTGTTTACTGCCTTGAGTTATTTATAAAAATAATAAAGGTGGGATAAAAAAATCTAAAAAAAAAAATTGCAGCATCGCAGCTGCCATCTTAAGGTTTTAACCATACCCTGCAGATTTCCCAAGTGCAATTCCTTGAAGACAGTCCAGAAACGGGTTGCCTTCTCTTCTTCCAGGAGTCTTTGGGCTGCCCAGTGCAGCCTCCACCCCTGAGATTTTCTGATGCTCTTCTGCTCAGCTGTTTAAAATCAGCCCAGGCCAGGTTTCCACGGCCACCACCTGGCTGGGCAAGCTGGGGAGAAGCTTTCGACAACGTCTCCACAAGCTGACCTCTTGCTTTGAACGTGGACGGTGCCAACAGACTGCAAAGGACCCCCTTGTCTTGCCCGGTTTCCCACCACCACTGCCCCCGAGGGTTTTCCATTCTGAAGGAAACCTGGGTCACTTGAGTTGTATTTTCCTTTCTGGGGAAGGCACTGGCCTGACCCTCCTTCTGTCTTGCTATCTGCTGATGGAAACACTCAGAGCATAAATGTGGCATTTCAGGAAACGTCAGTAGCTGCAGCATTAACCTCTCCCCCCCCCCATTTTTTTGTCTTCACAGCTGCAGGCCTGAGCTTCTTAACTCCCGTGGGGATGCCTGTCCTTCTGTGGGGACTACTTCTGACCTGGGGCATCCTTGGGCCTCTAGGAAGCCTCTGACAGCCTGGCCTGGCCATCTTGGGACAGTGCACTTGTGAAGTGGGAGGAGAACAGGTTTGATGTGCAAAAGAACAAGAAACTTGCATTGATTTTTCTCCTTCAGCCTTGAACGAGCACGCCCTCAGCCTGGTTTATATCGCCGTTCGCTATTACTTTTCTTCTTTAGTTGTTAATGGCATCAAACACTAAAGAGTCCTTTTTTTATCAGCAATTCATGCCAAAAATCAGAAGGAGTCTGTTAGTGCCTTTTCCAGTGAATAAACATTATGAAAAGGCTCTATGCATCTGACGAAGTAAACATAGGCCTTTTCGTAACGTTTGTTAGAAAAGGCGCTGCCAGCTCCTTCTGAACTTTAGACGGTGCAAGGTTCCCCTGCCCCCCCTCACAGAAGAAAATTAAGGGCTCGGGAGAACCAGCAGCGCCAAAGTCTTGGGAAGAGTGTGGAAAGCAGAAAAGGTGGACGGTGCAGTGCTGAATCCAAAGGGCATCTCACCGGCGCTTTCAGGAACAAGGCGGGGATGCCGGCAAATGCAGCAGTGAGCGGGTGATCGCTGCGTTGGAGCTCCCATGCCATATGTGGTGGGGTCCTCCTTTCTTTCTGCAGGGCAGTTGGCTGCCCCCTTCTCCTCTGCCCTGTTCCGGTTCTGATAAAGCTCCTCTTCTAAAAAGGGATTGCATCAATAAAAGAGCATATATGCAGCTCAGGGTTGAACTGTGGAGTCCTTGGTGCCAAACACCAAACAATCAGGCAGGAAACAACACTCTAATCAAGGCACTGCCAAGGAGAAAACCGTGGCCGCACCCACACTGGCTGGGCAAGCTACTGTAGATAGACAGGGAGCCAACCCCACACTCACCAGCACTGATGACGTTCCCTAGTCAGGCAATGAAACGCCTGCAAGCAGACGAGCTCAGAGAGCGCCAAGGACTCCAAGGGACTGTATCCCTGACCCATCACTGCCCCCTTTCCCTTCTCCCCCTGTGCTGGTATTTCTCCTTCATTTTCCTCCATCAGAGTTCTGCAGTAAAGAAATAGATTTGAATGTAACTAGACTGAAATAAATGTAGCTTCATTATATCACTCCAAATTCTGGAGCATTTTTTCAGCTCATTGAATGTCTCATTATGTATACGTATTTTGGATTTTGGACTTAGGAGCCAAAAAATAAAGCAATGGTTTGTACCACTTTGCCCTTTTTGTTTGTCTGATCTGTTGGTTGGGAGACACTGGGCTTGGCAGGCAAATGTTTCACACCAGTTCTTTTCCCCATCATTATTTGGAAAGGGGGGCTGTTTTAAGAGCCAAACAAAATAAAGTGAAAAACATTTTCATTTTAGTGAGAATGGTGGGACGGGGTGTGTGTGTGTGCGCGTGTGCACGTGTATTGGGATGGGCTCTGCAGGTGCCCACAGACGCGTTTTCCAAACTGTGGGAGCGGAAGAAGAGACAATATGGTTAAGCGAAAGCAAACCAGAAACAAAAGCCAGCGTTACCTTCAGCTGACTGTTTGAGGCAAACATTTGTTTCCGCTGGGACCTTGTTTATCTGCCGGCCAGTAAGGAAGGGTTGGGGCAGACTGAGAAGGGCCAGTTTCCTCTTCCTGAACGCTGGACCAGCCTGACTGAGGGACGCCAGTCAGGAAGACGCCAAAGGCTATTAGCGGGGAGCACGTCCGGCAGCTTCAGCCGACAGGGCAAACACAATCCCCCCGGGCCGTTGTGGGATTCATGGCCCTGCTACCTTTCTTGAGGGGTGGCTAAAAGTAAAAAGCTTCCCCTGAGGAAGGAGCAAGGTTAGATACTTGCGGAGAAGTTCTTGGGGCTCAGGCAGGAAGGAGCACAAGCGCTCTACTCTCAGAGGACACAGTTCGGATCACGCAGGTGAGGTTCAGGCCAGCGGCAATGCATATTTTACATCTGCCAATGATACTCAAATGGGGTGTTTGAAGTGTAAGCAAAGACTGGCTTTGCTTAACTACAGTTCGTGCTAACCAGGCTGTGCAAATGCGACTACCGCACTAGGCCTTTCACTGCCTGGCTTAGGGAGTCTGGGGACAGCGGATTCTGGTGTCACCGTAAAACTCAGGCGCCCGAGCGGCGTGGAGCTGGAAAGGACCTGGTCCGTGAACCTGAGACAGAAAACATGCAGTATCTTTGCAAAAACCCCCCCCCCCCCCCGCAATATGAACCACAAGTACTTCAGGCAAACCGAAAAGGTGTTTATTAAGGGAGGGTCAAGTTTTTATACAAGGCACAGAGACAATTACATGTATTCCTTATATGGTGTGTGCATCAGAAAGCAGCAAATGAAACAACGAAAATCAATGATGTGCAATAAAGGCTTTGTTCTGTGAGACATGAGGAAACACCCTCAAAATGCGTTGCATCTCTTCCTTTCCCACCCAGTTTGTTTCTTTCTTAACTCTTGCAACTTTATCATCAAGGACTTCATAATACAGCCCTGTTGTTTGATTCAGGGCCCCTGAAAGGGCCAGTTCTGGCACATGGAGGAAGTGCCTCGGGCTCAAAGGAGAAACCGGGTTGCCTGATCTTCAGAAGGAGCCGTAGGTGCCGGGCTGAAATGCTAACAGTGAAGCCTAAAATTCTGCCTAACACCGGGACTTGCACTTTCGATCTCCCACCATCTTCGCCCCAGAAAGAAGAGCGGAAGGTAGAGCAGAACCACGGCCCGGCTGGGGGGATGGGAGACGGCCTCTCCCTCCCGGGCTCCCCTCCTGCAGCCTGCCCACCGCCCGGGCCTGGGCGAGCAAGGGGCCGCTTCTGCAGGGGGGGTGGGGGCTTTGGTGGCTTCAGCAGGAGGGTGTGATACCCTCTTAAATACTAATCCAAATCTGAATCGAGGAGGGGGTTGCCCACGTTGATCTGAATTCTCGTCTTCCTGTGTGAAAGCCCCCAGCGCTTCTGCTGCGTGCTTCTGGCAGCTTTGGACAAGTCTTTTATTTCAACTTTTTCACCCACTTCTCACTGCAGAAAATCCCAAAGAGGCTTTAAAAGCACCTAAATCTTAAAAAAAAAATCAGAATAAAAATGCGGGTGGGGGGGGAACCAAGGGGAAGGCTGGAAGAAAAACCTTTCATGTTGAATATTTTGGTGCCTTTTTTCCAGGTCATGTTTTAAGCTCTTGGGTTGCCTAAACTTCTGCATAAGGACATCCGTGGTTTCAATGAGATAACTATGAATAACTATAAATGCCCTCTGGCCTTGCACCAGGACAACTGGGGTGTCTGCCGTATATGGTCAAAAAAGTCAAGATGGCAGTCACAATGGTGCAATCAAAGCACTGCCCGTTTTTTGGAAACCTTTTCTGGGCTCAAAGGCCAAGCCTGGCCAGGCTCAGTCGGTGCTTGGCTGGCAGACCAGCACAAATCTGGGGGCTGTTGCCCAACTGGGAAGTCAGAAGAACACCCCACAAGAAGGCAGAGGCGACCCACTTTTGCCCCATTGCCAGGAAAGTGGGATGGACGCGTGTGTGTCCAGGAAGTGGCCAGAGTTGAACTGGACTTGAGGGAGACCCACCTCGACCTGCAGGGGCTCGTGAGGCAGCTGGGGCAGGTTCTCTGGGCTCAGGTGAGGGAGAAAGAGTGCCTGCCCGCCCGCCCGCCTTCCTTCCTTCCTTCCTTCCTTCCTTCCCTCTTTCCTTCCTTCCTTCCTTCCTTCCTTCCTTCCTTCCTTC